ACAAACGAGCTGAATCAATCAATCAATCAATTAGCTTATAAAGCGCTATTTCCGCGATGTTCAACAGCGCTCCTCTATGAATTTTGAAAACAGATGGGTCTTGAGATCCGCTCTGAACTTCGCAAGTGATGGAGAAGTAGTCAGAGAAGTAGGTAGAGAGTTCCAGAGATAAGGACCAAAAAAAGCAAAAGCAATCAATCAATCAATCAATCAATCAATCAATCAATCAATCAATCAATCAATCAATCAATCAATCAATTAGCTTATAAAGCGCTATTTCCGCGATGTTCAACAGCGCTCCTCAATGAATTTTGAAAACAGATGGGTCTTGAGATCCGCTCTGAATTTCGCAAGTGATGGAGAAATAGTTAGAGAAGTAGGTAGAGAGTTCCAGAGAAAAGGACCAGAAAAAGCAAAAGCAGATTTGGCAAAAGAGTGTTTAACACGAGTTAAGAAAAAGCGAGAAGAAGAAGACGATCGTAAACCGGGGCGTTTAGGTTCAATTAATATATCTGATAAAAACTTAGGAAATGATTTAGATTGAGACTTATACATGAACGTGCAAATTTTAAAAATTATTCTATATTTTATAGGTAGCCAGTGCAAGAGAACAAGATATGGAGATATATGAGAAAAGAAAGGCAAAGAGTCATTAATATAACTTCGGGAAGGCCAAAATTTTTTCTAATTATATCTCAGATTTTTCTGAAAATAAACCAAAATGCTCATGAATAATTAATTTTTAGGAACTTGCTTCCAGAGGTAACTTGCCCGTTGAAAAAAATTTTCAATGTTAAAACGCTGGTAGGGCGCTTCCAGTTATATAATTCCATGATATATACATATATATATATATACATATATATATATATATATATATATATATATATATATTGAAATATGGCCTTATTTGCAGCATGAATTCAAAAATTAAGTTTATTTTGAATTTTAATAAACTAAACGTACACCAAAAAACTTTAGTGAGAAAAATCGAAAAAACGAACAACAAACATATTAAAAACAAACATTCGGTAGAATTTATAGAACATTGTAAAAATTATGGTCTATCACCAACATATATATATATATATATATATATATATATATATATATATATATATATATATATATATATATATATATATATTATTTTATCGTTTATTATTAAATTTTATTATTCACCACGGACACTAACAATTTTATTTTTTATTAATTTTAATAAATTGGATAATAATTATAAAATAACTGTTAGAAATATTGAAAGGCTCAATCGTAAATTTTCAAAAGCTAAAATTTCGGTAAATTTTATCAAATATTGCATCAATTATGGTCTCATTCCATCCATATGTTATTTAATATATATGATGCTATTCTTATACATATACATATTAATATACCTATTGTTTCTTCCATGCATTCTAAGTTATTCGAAGTATGTGTAATAATTTTAAGCAGTTAATGTTTTCGGTCACATCACGCGGAAAGAAAGAATGGAAAATCTAACAATTACTTGAAAGATTCAAGGGAGAAAAGATCGCGGTCAACAACGAATTACTTTGTGTCAGTTGTTGAACATCACCACTTTTCAACTGCTACAAAGTACAAAGTGTTAAAGATTAGGTTTTGTGAAGGTCGATGGACGACATATCCCATATAATTAGAATAAATATAACGGCCTTCGCTCATTTTTGACGGCCGAACAAGGAGCTTACTTCCGGAGGAAAATTGGAGGGTGATTTTTTATCTCCCAAGTCAAAAGTTACGATCGTATATTTACTAATTTCGAAATATTGCTTTTATTTAAAATTTCAAAATGTTTTAAAAGGTGATACTAGATGCTGTTTTAGGATAGATATTGCTGTATGACGGTTAAGTATCTTTTTTCATTTTAAATAAAAAATTTTTGTGAACCACCAACAACACTTAACTCATTAACTGTAACAACACTAAACGATGACTAATTAGTAATTAAATTACTAAACTCTAATAATTAAGCTAAAACTAAACTCTACTGATTCTAATTACTAATTGAAATAAATAACAGATAACACTAACGAACATTAACAGATTAGACTACTAGAAACTACCAACCACTACACTACATACTACTACTACACTAACAGCACTTGTTCCTAAGATCCTGAATTCTATTGCTTGATTGGTTTTAAAATTTTTATTTACAATGCTTAGGTCTGGAAATAAAAAATATACTAACTAAATTAAATAGATATATTAAACAACTTATCAATCAATTTTATAAAATAAACACCTTTGTAAGCTTCAAACTCCCCAAGCTAACTTGCAATTTAATTAAAATTTATTAATTATGAGTGATTCAAACTAAATTTTTTTTTATTTAATGTTTTACAAAATATTCCTCATTCTTAAATTGTAGTACATGTTGTTATTAAATTTATTAAAGATAATGTGTGATTCCAGTGATTCATCAATCCATGACTTGTTAGATCATGATCATTCAGTTTTAAAGAATCCCCATAACCAATGAGGTTTGTAAAAATTGTACTTTTAATTTATTATATTTTATGCACTTAGAATATTGTGTTATTAATTATTAATACCTCGGGAAACCGGGTCTCTGGACGCAAAACGAAGATTGATTGATTGATTAATTATTATCATTAATTTATTAAATGCTGTGCATACCTATGGCAAGTAAATAAAATAATTAAGCATAGAAATAGCCACAATCAAATTAATTTATATAGGCATGAGTATAATTTGGATAATAATAATTAAAAATATTGGTATCATTGAAAATGGATAAAGTCATAAATAAAAAAATAAATCATAAATTGCTAAAAATAATAGTTCCAGTAAGATTTTGCCTTACACCTACATCTTTTTTCATTCTTATATTATAATAAATGTTTGTTATCAAATATATCAAGGATTGATTTCTCAATCCATGACTAGATTGAATGTCATGATCCTACAGTTCCAGAGGATCCCCATCACCATTAATCAATAAGGTTTGTAGAAATCTCCCCAGGCATACCATCAATGTTTTGTAGTCACCTTTTAATGTACTGTTAATAAAATGACATTGAGAATAGTTATTTAAAACAATCTTATTAAAATTATTGAACAGGTATGACAAGATTACTTTCTTAATGTCCTAGTGTGAGGAAGATGTAAGCCATTTGTCCAAAGATAATCATATGCCTTATGCTTATACAAATGCAGTGTCAACGCGAATGATTTTTGATCAGAGTCTTATGTTCTAATTTTTTTAAACTTTTCCAGAAATTTTTCTGTTAATTTATTTGTTACATTAAATACTTGATGTGTATTTCATATAAAAACTTGATTATGCCAATTTAGTTAACTTGTTAAGCATTAATACAAAATTGACTCTACTTGTAATGGTGATTGGTATGATGATGATTATCCCAGTCCTAAGCAGGGTTTATTATTCACAATGTCATTATGCTCTTTCTAAGTTTTAATAAAATACATGGAATATTGGTGAATGCATTTTATATTTTTTGTATAGATAAGAATGTTGCAATGTACAATGATGATGTGAATTGCTTCCTTGTGTAACTGATGACATATAAATATAACTAACTTGAAAACATGGGAATGCTTTCTTCAGCATTACCTTCCTTTCTCCATCATAACCCTTATAATCTTTATTACAGAAATGGTCACTGCATATTCTTGCATTTTTTGATGGAAGCCATTTGAAATCATTTATTTCCTGTCTGATGCACTTTATCCAATCGTTTTGCATTTTTACATTTTGAGGAAATCTGAAATTTTATAAACTGTTACAGAAACTTGTGCATTTCTTAAGTATTGTTTTTAATAATAAAATGGTAATCCATGATAGCATTATAAATTATAATAGTCTATAAAATAAAATATATGTAATTGTAAAACAAAATAGTTCTGTTCAACGAGTATAGGGATATTGTTACATTTATTTTAGTGTAAATTTAATTTGAAAATAAACCTGTGAAAAGATGCATCAGAAATTTTCTCATTTCTATTTATTATTAATGCAATTTTTAATGCAACAGGTAGGCATGTTTGTGTATAGCTACGAAAATGAAAATTTACTTAAAAACTAAATTATTGTATCTGACACGAAAATTAGTACAGAAACAAAAACGAAAGAATAAATGACAATATAAAAATTTAAACATTGATTGAAAGAGTTTCTTCTAATTATATGGTATGGGCAATTCGTTGCGAAATCGTTGAAGGAAATGGTGTCAACAGTAGTTATTTTACTGCCTGGTGGTTAATCAGCCGGTATAAAGGTTATATTCAATTCCTATCAAATAAATTTGACAAAATATACACAGGCAGAACTAAATAAAGAAATAGACATGTAGTTATAATACATTTATAATGTTGTATTTACACATTCAAATTGTAAAATTGTTTTATGGTGTAGTCTCAAATTATTTTAAATTCTCTCAGAAAATTTTAAACGTTTTACTACACTATATATACTAGTTATTTTTATCAACAATTTAAAAATTTTATCAATAATTAAAAAAAATTTCAAATTGATTTCATTGCGATATCACTGATGATTTTTGTGACCTGACTGATTGAAAAGCATCAAAGAAAGTTAAAATAGGATGGAGAATTTGTTATATTGGGATATTCGTTTAAAAAGCGAGCAAAATTTTAATATAAAAGCGCTTATAAATCTATGCATATTGGCTCAGCTTGGCTTGGAATCGGGTGTTAAGCAAGGTGTGGTTTTAAACTATTTTGAATTCTCCCCGAAAAATTTGAACTGCGTGCGTACATATATAGTAATGGCTACTGTTGTTTTTTATAATGAATTTATGCATATTGGCTCAGCTTGGCTTGGCTCGGCTTGGAATTGGATGTTAAGCAAGGTGTGGTCTCAAACAATTTTGAATTCTCCCCGAAAAATTTGAACTGCGTGCTTACATATATAGCACTGATTACTGTTGCTTTTATAATGAATTTTTATTATATATATATATATATATATATATATTTATATATATATTAAGTGACTGGAATCCATGTATACAAATAATAAAATTATATTATATTAGATTATGTTTATATGAAAAGCAATATAGCAGATTCAACCAGCCAACCAGAAAGTTTCGAAGGCGTTCGTTCGATGACTTCAATTTAGTACGGTTAGCATTTTGGTTAAGACTGTATAATAGTAGTGTAGTACATACATTAAATAAGTTTTTTATTGATGTGAATGATTGAAATGATGAAAATGTATGGTTGAAACGAGTATAAATAGGAGCTGAAAAAACGTTGAAATCAGATCAGGCATTTCTGCCTCGCTCGAGTCGGAGTGCCTGATCTCATTTTTTTTATATTTATATTTTCTTAATTTATTTATTTTTATTTAATTTTATTTTATATAGAGTTATATAGAGTTATATAGAGTTTGCATGTCTGTGGTTTGTGTGTC